AAGCCGTTAACACTGTTAAATAAATATAATATAAATCATCAAAGGTATAATATACGACAGTATTTTTAGCCGTATTGCCAGATTTATCCGGCCGAACGCCCTCTTGAGGCGTAGCATTGTGTAATACACATAGAGCTATTAAACAACTAGAGTGTTGACAAGATGGCGCAGCAATGCAGTGTTATGTATGTGTACCATCCAAGATGGCCGTCGTAGTAAAGCGCCACCTTCAGGCTTAGTATACATATTATTACATATTAATAAGCCCTCTGACTGACTATTATTTCATTAATGATAATGAGTAATGGTAATAACAAATTACTAAACTATTGTAGCCAAAACGAGGCCAAGTGAAGCATCAAAAATAAAGTACCAAGGAATGAAAATTAAAATCGTATACATTAAACCCAAACACCGCAACGCTCGAGTTTCAAACATACAGGTAACTAGCTGTACTGAACTTCTGAGTAAATTGAGGGCGCATTTGCAAACGATGGCGCTTAGCGAAATTTGATTGGCTAAATCTATGGTAGCCATCTTGGATGGTACACAGACACAGTTCTGCGTATTTCGAACATCGAATACATTGCGGTTAGCGTTCTGTATTCTTATTATACCTCTATGGTAATACAATGTTCCCGACGGTTATTTGGACAATTTTTAGTGTGAACCACTTTAAATTACGACCAGTACGGTATTAACGCAAACTTTGCGTCCCAAAACGCACACAAATGGTGGCTGACACAGCCTGTGACATAGGCATACGTGTAGTTCTCATTGCATTTTTGCAGGAGGGAAAATGAAAAAATTGTGAACAGACACGGTCTGGGTCTTAAATAAATCCCTCTTATGTTTGCATTTAAAGTGTGTACATTTAAATCAAGATTACTCTAATAATCTAACGAATTATGCAATGTACGGTATGAAGCAGTGATATTAATCGTCTTTTGGAAATGTTACCAATTTCTCTTGTCCGGCATTTTCGTATAGTGGTTGGTCGTCGTATCCCAAGTCCACAGACGGCGGTACAGACCCGTCACTCTTTCCAGCATAGAACGACACCGGTCTCTTTTCATTCACTGAATCAACTGGAATATACTGTTCTTCAAAATCTTGCAAAGGATCAACATCAAAGAAAGAAGCGGTTCCAAGTGGATATAAAGCATCCATTGCATAAATAACAAATGCAAGAACAACGCATATCAAACCTAGAAAAAGATATGATACAAATTAAATATTTATGTTAGGCCACTATTTGAAAAAAGAAATGACACACTGCTCCAATGGTAGTCTGCCGATGCAACTTCATAGAAAACGCAACGCGTTTCGTTTATGACGTAAAAATAATTGTCCATGTTGATATCATTGGAATTTGATAACTTTTTAAATATTAAATGCGCAGTTCAATGGTGATAAATCCCGTTCTTCTTTATGTTGGGTTGAGGGTAATATGTTCATGTTGCCGTGGATGGTCCGCTCACGGACAGTGCTACTTACAGGCGTATATTATGTATCAAACTGTTATTGTTCTTTACCTACGCTCATGTTCATCCAGAAACACCAACCATACTTCAGAACCAATTTGGACTCATCATTAAGTGGTATCTCCAGTGGTATCCAGTGAAAGTCTTCTTCAGCACCTAATGTGTTCCGTAACGTTGCAAAAATTATGTTTCCGGTCAACATGCATCCTCCGGTCAACGACAGTAAGTACGCACCATAGCGTATCACCATAAACATTAAGATGTTACTCAACAGCCACAGGGGAAAAGCAGTCCTAGATTGAAAAGTTCTAGTCATTAATAATAATAATAATAATAATAATAATAATATTATATCTGTCTCTTATACACATCTAGATGTGTATAAGAGACAGGCTATACCGAACACAAAGGCAATAGCATCAAGGACTGTGCGGTGCGTATGAGTGTGAAAATTAGATGTTTTAATCGGATTTGAATTTCCAATAAAGCCTTAATGGTCCAGCTGGTTAAGGCGTCTCCATCTGCATATATGTAGCAGGAGGTTGGGCACCTATTTTTCACACTCGCATATTCCTCTTCTTTAACATTCAAAATGTATCTATATAGGCCTATATTTATAGCATTGGCGCAAGACGGTTTCGAGTATCTTCCTCTTATATCATGATTTGTTTATAAAAAGTATCTCTCCGGAGATTCAAGACATGCTTTTATGTATGTGCGTTTCAACTGTTTTTAGTTGCGAATAAAGTACATTGTATTGTATCGTATTTTATTAATGTATTGTATCCTTTGTCGTCAAATGCTTATAAGATGTAGGCGTTACCAATCTCCAAGAACTGGTTATTGAATACTAGAATGCTTTTCTATGTTTGCAGTGTATTTACCAGAGCATTATATTTGTGTACCATCCTGTCAATCTGTATGCTCTTCCCCAACGAATGTTTTCACCATCTAAAGTGAAGTATTCCAATACCCAAAGTATTGGCAGAGGCGTTCCACGCCACTGAGCTGCACGGAACTCTCGATTTATTCTTCCCGCTGTAACGAAAAAGTTCTAATTACATTGTATACATTAGCTATTTATTCAGAATAAATTGTGTTCCTTAAAGTCAGTCTAAACGGATCGTCATTAAAAAAGATTCGTTGCGCTCGCGTCTGGCGTTACGTTCTTCAGAATTGCGTCGACTGACGACCGTCGGGAGCAGTGAGTGGCTGGCCCGGAATTTGTCAATCTTAGTTTATGTCCCTTTCCCACATTCACGATTTTAGCTACGACAGAGCACGATTTTTCAATTTTAAAAAATCGCAATGGCGTCGTAAATATCGTGGTCAAAAATAATTCATCGTATTGCATCGTACTGGATCTTGATGTTATCGTGATGGAGCACGATTTTTTTGGAATGTTCAAAAAAATCGTGCTCAATCGTAGCCGTGAAAAAGATCTTGGTCTACCGCAGCGGCATCGTGTGAGTGGCGTAACGTTGTCGTCGTTTGTCGTGACTGTGTCTTGTCAACAACACCTACGACAAGCCAAGACGTCGCTGCGGTGGTGAGACGATTAGATACGATGCCATTAGGATACCATCAAGACCGTGGTTTATATCACGTGGCTCTGTGTCAAAAAAGTTTTTCAACACACTGAACAATTCCTTGCTCACTTGGAGGAAGTTTTTGAAGCCTCTTGGGTCTTCTCTATTTAATTTTACCTTGATTTACCTTGATTTTGAAGCTAAAGCTATTTAACTCTACTAAGTGTTCATACTGTCTGAAACTGTCTGACGACGTGAGAGCCATGGCTGTACCCATACACTTTGTTTAGGCCTATGCATTCGACGTGACCGACGCTTACTCTTGATTATCAAAACTGTAGCAGCCAACAAATTTTCTTCTTCTATGGCAGCAGCTTGCAAATATTGATAGTCATGTCATGTGATGTTTGTTTTTGTAATGTGCGTCTTGTAAAATCATGCTAAGGTCGTGCTTGCGTCTTTGTAAAATCGTAGTGACGTCGAATTAAAATTTTGGTAATTCGTAGTACGTCTTCACAAATCGTAACTCTATCGTAATAATTCGTAAAAATGTCGTCGCACTATCGCAATAGTGCCGTAATACATCTTGACGGCGTCCTAGTAGCGTGTTGATTAAACGTAAAACTTGAACTTTTTGAGTAGGAATCACTACGATAGAATGTGGGAAAGGGGCATTAGCAAATGTCTTTATAAAAAGTCAAATAAGTTACCATTTCCCTAAGCAAATTTATCAAACTTTCTTAGCAAAATCTTAGCTTAAAAAATGTCTTAGATGGCGCATGCGCACAATCGACTTTTTAATTTTAAGCAATTATTTAAGCTAAAGCAATATTGATAAATCTGACTTAAGCAAAAAAATGGACTTAAGACGAATTTAAGCTGATTTCTAGTTTGATAAATCCTTTCTTTATAATACATTGATAATTGACTGATAATGATAACTTTCTGCCTTACCGAACGGTCCAAATCCGGTTCTTCCTTGTCCACAGCAAAAGGTGTATTGCTCATTGTAATTTATGTTTTCTGTTTGATTTACCTCAAGTGATTGTCCAATCGTGTTTCGTAAAAATGTCGTCGCACTATCGCAATAGTGCCGTAATACATCTTGACGGCGTCCCAGTAGCGTGTTGATTAAACGTAAAACTTGAACTTTTTGAGTAGGAATCACTACGATAGAATGTGGGAAAGGGGCATTAGCAAATGTCTTTATAAAAAGTCAAATAAGTTACTATTTCCCTAAGCAAATTTATCAAACTTTCTTAGCAAAATCTTAGCTTAAAAAATGTCTTAGATGGCGCATGCGCACAATCGACTTTTTAATTTTAAGCAATTATTTAAGCTAAAGCAATATTGATAAATCTGACTTAAGCAAAAAAATGGACGAATTTAAGCTGATTTCTAGTTTGATAAATCCGGCCCCTATCTTTATAATACATTGATAATTGACTGATAATGATAACTTTCTGCCTTACCGAACGGTCCAAATCCGGTTCTTCCTTGTCCACAGCAAAAGGTGTATTGCTCATTGTAATTTATGTTTTCTGTTTGATTTACCTCAAGTGATTGTCCAATCGGGTCTCCTAAGCGTTCCGAAAACAAAAATCGTTTATTCATAAATACATATTTTCCCATTGAACGCCGTAGAAACTAGTATTTCGGAAGGTATGAATTATAGAGTTGTGTAGAAGGGCTACAATGAACAAAATTAAAATATGAATCACTCTGCCGACATGCTGCGATTCTGATCACCACGAGCTAACTACTGACACAATGTGCGCACAGTGTACCCGTTATACTAATTAACTACGTGCAGACTGCTGGTATAATAGGTAGTTTTCGCCGCACGACGTTAAACGCGATGACTCCGCCCCTTTTGGAAACAAATCGAAATACGCATGCGCAAACCTGTAACCAACGCCCGACGAGCACGTAAAATCCTGAAATTAACGTATTCCGGTCCGCAATGCAAGATGAATGAATTATGACGTCATCCGTTAACGTTAAGGTTAGTCGTGCAGCGAAAACTCCCTATTTATGTTTGAGGCCCTTGGTTGAAGATCGCATTGGGCCTCAGTTTACGGGGCGAACCCGGCGGTTGACGTTAAGTGTCGTATATTTTTTTTCTTCTCGTTTTTTCCCCGTTTTTTTTGTTTTTGTTTTTGTTTTTGTTTTTTTTTTTTGTTTTTTTGTTTTTTGTGTGTTTTGTGTTTTTGGACACATTCTGCGCTCTTTAAGGGGCCCGCCGCTTGGCCGATTTGGGCCTGGCCAACAAAAAATGCTGAATTAAAGTAAGATCCAGGCCATAGCTTTAGCCAAGGTCAGCTCAGTTTGCACTGCATTGTTTAAGTATACGTGCTGCAGTTTTTTTTAAAATGCCGTATATTAAATACAGTCTCTACTTAAACAGTCAAATGTTAATGGTAAATATAATAAAAGATAGAAATGAAAGCATTATAGCAACATCTTAAGAGCTGTACCTACCACTTTCAATGACCGTCTGATGATGTAAACCTCATCAAAGTGGACATTATATAAGGGAATATCGTACCTGTGAGAGTGATGTTGATTTCTTTCAATCCAATGTGTAAACCGACTGTTGCATTTATCTCGTGTCTAGTGAAAGCCTTATAAGGCAGATGTTCAACATAGACTTCACCGTGTTCCCAGTCAACACCATACAGACACACTATGTAAATGAAGAGTGTTATTTAAGTGTTTTCCTTTGTATCCAATCCAACAGCAATATGTATATCGAATAAAACACGGCACTTTACATGTATTTTAAAAGGACAAGAATCAGAACATGTTACGCCCTGAGAGGGGGTGGGGACACATTGTTAATGTTTGTGACACGAGTGTTCGTTCTATAAAACGCGTGTGAAAGGGTATAACCTACAGTATAATTTTTAATTTTAGGAATAGGCCTTTTCATACCTCTCGAATTGGTGTAAGCCTTCCTTGAATGCTCCGAAATTAAGTGTCAGAAGATATGTATTAGCACAGCTCGGCAAAATATTATCTTTTATACGTACTAAAATATTAATCATCACTGTCCCATATCACTGAAAATCGCTGATTTGTTTACCGATGAAACTTGAAAATTCACAGTCATGTTAAAAAAAAAACGTAAATCACACCGAAAGTGGAACTTGGGAATTACCGTAGATCAGCTTACGGCGCTTTTCCGTCTACTCGGAACACGTACTTAGATTATTGAGAGTGTTAATTAACATCAAACTTCAGCAACCACACAAAACGGAACTATATTATACCAGAATCATAGTTCCTGTTAATAAAGTTAAATATCAACTGCCATGCCACGTGATATACTTTAAATAAACACAAATTCAATAAGGTTTAAGCTTTAAACTGAAAATTTTAATAAGAAAAATGATCGTCAACTCACGGAATAATACCATTTCTTATATTATTTGCATAATCCTTAATTTGTGACAGAAAGTTTCCGTTGTGGATTATAAAACATATTAGATCCGTTACCTTACCTACAGGTGATAACATATAACTTTACGCCTGTGATTCTCCAATGAGCAATTGAAGATTGAAGGGTCGGATCCAGGATATTTTAGGATGGTTTGAATCATCAACCTATCCCAGCTACACCGTGCGAGTATGGTCCCCACATGACGCTGGATTAGTTGATAAACTATTTTTTTTTTCAAATGAACGTTTTCATTTAGACTATACAGTATTTCACAGCTACAAACAACATGCATTTTGGTAACATTTTAGTGGGTGGAGGAGGCTAAACCCTCTGATATCGAGTAAATAAACGTGCCGCTGTAGCACTAAAAAAACAAAAATTAAACTTACGTAGAATTGTAAGTCCGATAAACAAACTGACTGTCACACGGATAAAGGCCCACAATCTCTGTAATAAAAGTAAAACGAACAATTGTGTTTATTTAGTTTTACAAATTTGATGTTACAAGTCACTCCCAGAAAGATGTCCGCTAAAAAGGAGGTCTTTTTTTGGAGGAACACTACCAGTTTTCATTATTAAAATCATCGTCATTTCATTGTCATCGTCATCAATATCATCATCACTATCATTATCATTATCATCGACATCATCATCATAATTATCAACATAATCATCGTCATCATCATCATCGCTATCATCATCATCATCATCGTCATTATGATCATCAATATTAATATCATTAAATTTTTCATTTTAAATATTTTCTGTTTGTGGAAGCTACGGTACATTTTTATACAAAATTGATTAAATACTGTATATAATTTAAATATTGAGCTTTAGAACAAACTTTCAAAATGATGATCAATAAACAAGGGAGTTGCTAACGTAAACTTAAAACAGTAAATCTTAAAATGTTATAGCTTGGAAAAGATAATATACCTCCGTCGTTGTCGTCAATGTCGCCGTCGTGGTCGTGGTTGGTGTCAGTACCAAGCAACCAAATGTCACTTTGTTTGACATAATGTGGCAATATATTTATTTTTACATTATTTATGTATTTAAAAGAACTTACATGTATACCACGTATCCCTGGCATTATAAACAAGAAGCTCACAAAGAGAATAACGGCAGCGAAAATCAAACCGGCTAGAGTAACATCATAGGTAACGGCAGTTGGGTGTGGAGGATAATTTGGCGACACTGGTTTATCTCGGAAGGCATTGAATCCGAAAACTTTATCATCGTAGCCAGGACAATCAGGCTCACAGAATGAGTAGTTTATCGACATCTTTGCTTCAGAGCCAAATAGTAGGGTCAGTGCGAGAGGAACAGTGGGCCAAGAATGAAACAAAACATTGCTGGATCGTTTCGCTATCGATTCGAGTTGTTGATATCTGGCCTGTTTGTCAGACTCTTGGTAGAAAGTCGAGAACACTTCCTACATTTATTGTTTACACAAGTATAGGGGAATTTTTAAAAGTAACAAATTAGTGTATAAACACTTGAATTATTGTTTCATTAATGTACCGTAATAATAATGCCCCACTTGTTCTAATTGATTACAATAAAAAGTAAGCATAACAATTTATTCTAATGCTGTATATATTCCTATATACAATTAAGCTATTCCAATTTGATATAAAGCTTTTTAAATTTATGATTATTGATTAATATAAAAAATTACAAAATTGGTAAAATACTTATAAACCTATACAAGACATAAAACTTATTTAAACATTTCTTAAATGTTGAAAAGAAGAGGCCTATAAAAGGCTAGTAAAAGGGACAGAGACAAAATGGCCTGAAAGAGAAAATTGATTTCTTGTAGTAGTCTTCCATTTACAAAAGGTTACTAATCGAAAAGTAAAGAATGAATTAGCAATGGAAAGAGATGACCATAGACAGGAGAACTTCAGAACTGATGCATATTTCAGTACATAATTCTCTGTGCCTTTGATATTTAATTAGAGCATTTTTGATTTATATCTCATGGATGTTGACGGTCGTCCGATACAAACTTTGTTCACTCACATGATTATTCCCTTTGATTTTAAAACGATGCAATTGGGGGATTTCTTCTATATAGGCCTAATTTAGAGTATGAGTATAGATTATACGGCAAGACTAAACAATTCTAATTTAGGCCTTACTGTCTCAAAATTGAGACAGTACAAAGAAAGAAGAGCACCTAGATGTGTGACAATAACATCTAGTGTTAACGTCTTTGGAATGGCCTACCCCTTAACTGGAATCTATAACAACTGTAAATACAACTTTTAGTATCTGCATTAATTAAACGTAACCAATAACGTAAAAGCATTTCTAATACTGTACCAGCAACAGAAAGTGAAAATCTCCTGCATTCACCTACTGCCATAGTTAGAGCTGTGCTGCCTATTCCTAAAATAAATCTGCAAAACCTAGAGTGAAATTTTTCAATAATTGGTATGTCACTGATTCCAAAGATCTCACTGCTATATATTAATATTGGTACTATTTTTACATCAAAAATTTTGTTCCACAAATGTATTGCTAAGTTGCCAAATTTGTTATGAATTAATCGTTTTGAAGTAAAAAGAGCTTTGTTTGCTTTTGTACAGTTATAACTAATTGCATTCGTCCATGTGCAATTTGAATTAAACACTACACCAAGATAATTGTAAGATTTAACTACTTGTAATAAAACATTTATATTTTTTTAAATTTTCTCCCATTTTGAAAAACGACAACATTACTTTTTTCAATATTAACAGTAACAACCCATTTATCACAATAGAGAGCCAATTTGTTTAAAGAAGATTGCAAACCAAAAACAGTGTCATTCATAAGAACAAGGTCGTCTGCATAAAGTAAATGGTTAATGAGAAAATCGCCAATTCGAATTTTATGTGTATGTTCCGATGTATTTAATATTTTACTTAAATCGTTAATAAATAAATCAAAAAGAAAAGAGGATAGAGGTGAGCCTTGTTGAATACCAATTAAACATCTGAATTGATTACTGATAATACTTCCAACTTTTACATGGGCAGAAAGTTTGTCATACATTGAAATAATAATGTTAAGTATATTTTGTTTTAAACCTTCTTTCTTTAATTTAAATATAAGAAACTGATGTTCATTTGAATCAAAGGCTCTTTTTAAATCAATAAAGGCAACATGTACTCTTCCTCTTTTTTTTGATAAATATTTATGAATTATTGTGTTTAAAATAAAAACATTATCCATGGCCCGATGACCCTTCCTAAAACCTGCTTGTTCCTGATGAAATAAATTATTATCTTCTGCCCAATTATTTAATCTAATATTTATTATGTAAAGAAAAACCTTACCAAAAAATGCCCCTATAATTAATGGGATTATTTTTGTTACCCTTTTTGTAAATCGGAATAATGAGACTTTTTGCCCATTGGGTAGGATATATTCCCGTTTTGAATATCACGTTATAAAGTTTTGTAATTAAATAAATAACAAAATCTGGTTAGTGGATAAATATTTCAATGATTAATCCATCAATTCCTGGTGCCTTTCCTCTCTTTTGTAATTTAAAAGCTTGTTGTACTTCATCAACGGATATTTCTTTATTTAAATTGTTTAAGTTTCTATTAAATTCCACTTGGAAATTTTCAGTTTGTAAATGATCATTGTTATTAATATTGACGTTTTCAAATAAAGTTTTAAAATTTTCGAAGAATAAGGTAATTGGAATTTCATTGGATGAATCATAACATTTGTTTTTTTAGTTTGACCAAAACAATCTCCCATTATCGTGATTTAAAGATTTAATAAATTCGTTTTGAGCATTTTTTTTATAAGACTTCTTTTTAGATCTAAGTAATTTTTTTGTATTCTAAAGTGCGCGTAAAATTAGATTTCATAATTTCATGATATAATAGTAAACAAAATACTACATTGTCATCTTATGTTAATGACATTTTTAATTAAAGCATAATGTTTTTGTGTTTACTTTATTTTCTTTTATTTTAATTGGATTTGATAAACCTACTTTCATTAATATATTTAACTAAGTAATTAACACAGTTTGAATAACTGTTTGTGTACCTGTACAGTAATTTGTGATGTGCAGCCTGAGAGTCACCTTAACAGACTACATTATTTGAACTTGCACAAAACACCTCATTTAAACTTATCACAGAACAAAAATTTCAAAATACATCAACTACTTCATGTGATGGAATTTTGTGCTATTATATAATATTTTGTTTTATTTACATGGTAATTCACTTAACATATTTATATTATATTTTACAGTTTTTCAAGCCTTGAAACTTGTTTAACAACATTTAAATCTATCCTGACCAACTTTGTTTCCTGAATTCATCTTAACTGGATCAAAAAGTACCAAGAAGTTTCAAAAGCTCAAGATTGTCAAAATCGGTAAGTAAATAGATTCTAAAAACCAAATGTTCGGGGGAGAATTTTTTATACCTTGTTTATCGAACCCGCCTACTGCAAATATTGATATTTTTTAAATAAAAATAAAATTTTATTTTTGAGCAATTAGCGCACCCACCGCCACAAAAAAAGGAAATTGCAGTAAAAAATTAGTTTTTTAAAATTTTAATTATGCCCTCCACTGCCTTGAAATCTCCAAAAATTTACATATTATATAAATTGCATTTAACCATACTAATTAACATTCACCAATAAAATTGCTTATTTATTTTCTCCTCCGTCTGGATGTCTTAAGCAAAACTGTTTGCTGAATAAAAAAACTAAATTTATCTTTATTTTTAATCCGCCCTCCTCCAATGATCTTTAGAAAAATAAGTACGCGAAACAAGGTATAAAGAAGTCGCGCCTTAGCTACTGTTGAAATAATATCCATGTAACATAACAATGTTTAGGATTACTGTGTGGATCTAAGCACTACATTGTTACTTTATTATTTTCGTTAAACCCAATCTGTTTAGCTTCTATAAATATATATTGAATTATAGGATGATACTCATATTAATAGTACTCAACACGTCGTTAATAAAATCATATTTAAAGCAATCAAAGTGTTTAATACTGTAAAACCAGCTAAACTTTCATGTGCAAAAAAATTTCACAAATACCATACAAAATTTAGGAATATTGTATGTTAATGAGGATTGTAATTATGATGTAATTATTAGCTGTGTCTGGCCAGCTAAACCCTAGCAGATAGGCAGGCTTATGCCTCGGCCTAGCTAGCATTAGACATAGACTGTAGGCTTTTGTAGCCTAGAACTCATGATACGATATTGTCATCATAGATGATCTATAATATGGTGTTCATCTCATGAATAAATTCAGGTGTTAGGGCACATAGAAAGAATACCCTCCTTTAAAAAAAATGAGGGTGGGGTTTTTTTATTTTCCCGCATCAATATTTCCAAATAGTTAATGTGCGCAGGAGTGATAAACAATTTTTTTTATATGTGCCCTTATCAATTCGCGAAAGTTTCATGTCACATAAGTTTCTTGTTTTACATTAGTTGTAATGCTGTAATTTAACCTCTTTGAAATTGTTTGTGCACCAAGCCTCTTAGTTTTTACAGCCAGGCCTTGCTGAAAATTGAGTGGTTAATTCTAGGCAAATAATTGCGCCACATTTATCTGTGATTCAATTGTGAAAGTGCTTCACAATTAGCATAAAACCTGTCACATTTTGCGATACGATACTGAAGCCCAGTAAAAATACTTTATCGTAATTAAAATTAGATCTTCTTATTCACATTCACTTCACCCTTCTAATGCATAAAAAATGTAATAATTTGTCATAAATGTGCTGTGATGATTGTGCGTAATCCCAAAGGTGTTAGGAGACATGTCACCTATATCAGTAGTTCAGACCTAAAGTAAATTTGCACAAAAACCAAAGTCAATGAAAACACTAATTTTCAAAATTTTATTTGTGTTGCATGCCTTTTTTTTTATTTGATAAATCTAAGTGAGTAAATCTTAAAAGCTATTTTTTTTAGATCTTTTTTTTCCCCTCAGGGCCAGTTTGCAGAATTCTGAAATGCGAGGATGCAACTAGATGTCAAAAAAAGGAGGCGATTGAATACTTTTTTAATAACCTTTATGAAAAGTATGAGGGAAAAAGGCATTCGTACTGTCTGTTACTATGATTCATGGTGTAACTATTGACGATTCTTATTGATACACTCTTGCATGGACCTTATCAATTTGAGGATATTCATAATCTGTAAAAACGTTAAATATGTGATATTCCCAATGTGATCAAAATGATGGAATGTCCTTACTTTCCAAGGAGCTGGAGAAATTGAATTGTATAGTTATTAAGGGACATTAAGAAATTTTGATTTCATGTACCACTAT